CTTGCCTCTGACTCCCAGGTGTAGGCATGGTCCCCAGATACTGCCCTCAGCCCTATTTCCTATTTTCTGTATAGGGTTATTAGCCCAGAAACAGGTTAAATACAAATCAGATAAACAATGAAATTATTTTTATCTGGCAGTCCTATCTAGAAATAATGTAAGCTCTCAACATGTTTCTTTTCCGTTTTTCTGCTGTGGGGTGTTATTTTTGTTTTTGTTTTTTTGTTTTTAGAATTTTGGTTTGCTCAGTGAATTTGAACATCTATCAGTAAACACAAAAATCAAACATATTGACTGGGAGCATCATCTGTGCATGAATATTCAGAAGCTGACTGTGTTGATTGGCCTTGTTATGTATTCAGCATTTCTGGGTGATTCAGGATCAAACTGTTCTCACACTGTGAAAACCACCCCGGAGGAAGCCTGGATCACACTCATTCATTAATTTATTCAGTTATCCAGTCACTCATTTATTTGTGGAATTCAGAATGTTCTTTTCTGTTTACAAGGTCAATTTTTTTTTGTTTGGTGGTGGGGGAGTAAGGGAAGTAGCTGAAGTTGACCCATATTTTCCTGTCCTCTAAACCACTGGCTTGGTTTTCTTTCTTCACATAGAATCTAATCAGCCCAATTCTCACCTTGCTTCAGAGAGGTTCTTGCAGGAAGGAAAATGAGTCTTCCCCTCGTTACATAAATTCTCATGGGGCTTCCCTTTACACGTTTATGACAGCCAGGAGTTGAGCCTGGAGCTCTGAGAGAAGCAACCACACGCTGATTTATGATGGCAGCTGCTGCTAAATCTCACCCCTCTTTCCTTCTTACGGAGCCACGTTACCTGGGGGTTACAAAACTCTTTTCACTGTTATTCAGGGGAATAATAATAAAATGCCAGGTTGTAAGTATAAACACGATCATTCTGTGTCTATTATTGTAAATCAAATTTTACTTGCTTCAGAAGCACAGAAAACATTTTATAGTGTCGGCCACCTCAAACCTTTTTAGGAGTCTGTGTTTTTATAATCCTGGAATGACCTGAGGTACTGTTTGAGCTGCACTGACCAGGAAAGCTGGTCACACAGGTGATCTGGTTATTTTTCCTTATAGACCCCACTGGTCACTTTCCTTGAGCAAAGTATTGACTTGATTTAAGCATAGGCTTGGGGTTAATGAGGTGGGGCTCAGGATTCCAGTTGCCTGGGTTCAGAGCTTGGCTCCATAATTTACCACCCGAATGCCAGTGGCAAGTCACTTAATGTCTCTGTGATCAGTCTCCTTGGCTTTAAAATAGGGATGTTAAATATTGTAATTAAGTTATATAGTTTCTATAAGGTTTAGCTTCGTCAATACACAGCATTTAGAGCAGGGCCTAGGACATGAGTACCACTCTGATTGTTAGTTTTGTATAATTGTGGTTTTAGTGTAGTAGCACCATTTTTTTTTCAAAGAATGAAACCCTTATTCTAAAGAGAAACCAATTTTTCAGATTCTCATGTGATAATAGTAAAACTGTTAAGATCCATGAGGAGAGCAGCTACACTATGACAGAAGACCAGCAGGAAGTCAGTGACACTTCTGCACTGGGGCGGGGCTCGCCACCATCCAGTCCCTTCCCAGAGCTGGGGCAGGGCTTCCCTTCCACACGGCTGCCCCCCCGCCATGCCTGTCAGGGTTTGTTTCAGGGTGCTCATGAGTGACGGCCATTGAAAAGGAGGCTCTCTCCCCTGGGCAGGTGGGGCGAGCTCAGCAAATCTCTGGACACCCATTGGATGCCAGTAATCGATGACAACAAGGGTGGCATTGATGGCCCTGGCAGTACCAGGCATAGTCTGTGACTCACTCCTGCTTCTCTACCCAATGCCTTGGGTCTTGACCTCTGGTCTAGGTCACACAGCCCATCCTCTCCTAGCCTTCGACTCCATCATCCAGCATCCTTGAGGACAGAGCTAAATGTTCAGTCCACTTTAAACATTCATCCAAATTATTAACACTGCTTTAAAATTCTCTCTTCTATTCCCTCCATCCTGTAACCTCTGACTTGAGGTCACAGCATGATGTCACAATTCACCACCTGCTCTGACTTTGTGAGAATTTCCCAAGCTGGTTGGTAGGCTCCCTCACTCTTTGCATCTGGGAGGCCTCCGCAGGATTCATGGTCTCGCCTTGGAGCATTGTGAAGTAGGCTTGCATGAGATTTGCTCTTGGTTTATATGCTTTGGCTAAACATGGATAATGACATTAGTGAATGACTTCAGAGGTTCTTCTTCCCTCCTTTGCATTTTTAAATAGTGTGTTTCTGCTTTTGATATTTATCACAGAGATAGTTAGTTCTCTGCTCCATGACAGTCAAAATTTACAGGACAGAAAATTGGGAGTGATCATTTGCATTTTAAAAGTTATCCCTTATTTACAATCACCAAGATATGGAAGCAGCCTAAGTGTCCAACAGTAGATGAGTGGATAAAACAACTATGGGACATTCACACAATGGAATTTTACTTGGCCATAAAAAAGAAGAAAATTTTACCCTTTGTGACAGTGTGGATTGACCTGGAGAACATTATGCTAAGTGAAATAAGCCCTTTGGAGAAAGACAAATACCATACAATTTCACTCATATTTGGAATCTAATGAATAAACTGAACTAACAAGGAACATGGGGACAGACTCATGAGTGGAGAGCAGGATGATAGCTCTGGGGTTGGAGGGAAGGTAGAGGTGGAGGGATTGAGCAAAGAGGAAAAAGGACTCTTGAACATGAACAACCCTGGCAATTACTAATCTACATTCTGTCTGGAAGAACTGGTCTATTCTGAACTTTTCATGTAAACAGAATCATACCATACATAATCTTTTGTGTCTGACTTCTTTCACTTAACATAATGTTTTCAAGGTTCATCCAAGGTGTACCAGGTATCAGTACTTCTTTTCTTTTTATAGCTGAATAACATTCTATTGTATGGATATACCACATTTTGTTCATCCACTTCTCCACTGATGAATATTTGAGTTGTTTCTATCTTTTGGCTGTTGTGAATACTGCTGCTATAGTGTACATTTGTGTATATTATATGCAAATAAATATATACGAATGTAAATACATGCAAATATAATTTTGCATTTGTATATGGGTATTTGTGGGAACATATGTTTTAAATTCTCTTGGGTATATACCTAGGAGTAGGTCTACGTTTAACTTTTTGAGGAACTGTCAGATTGTTTTCCAAAGCAGCTATGCCATTTCTGCATTCCCACCAGCAGTGTATGAGGGTTCCAATTGCTCCACATCCTCATCAACAGTTGTTACCACCTGTCTTTGTGTTATAATCATCCTAGTGCACATGAAGCAGTTTCTCATTGTGGTTTTGATTTGCATTTCCTAATGACTAATGATGTTGAACATCTTTTCATGTATTTACTGACCATTTTTATATCTTCTTTGGGGAATTTTCTATTCATAGCCTTTGACAATTTTTAAATTGAGTTATTTGCCTTTTTATTGTTGAGTTGTAGTTCTTTATATATTCTGGATTTTGGACTTTTATCAGATACATAATTTACAAATGTTTTCTTCTATTCTGTGGGTTATCTTTTCACCTTGAGTGTGTGTGTATTTACTTATTCATCTGTTTATTTATAGAAGAGGGGATGGGAGGGAGAAAGAGGTAGAGAAACTTCAATATGAAAAATATGAGAAAGAAACTTTCAATATGAGAAAGAAACTTCAATTGATTGCCTTTCCTATGCTTCTCCACAGGGTACTGAACGCAACCTAGGCATGTGCCCTGAAGGGGAATCAAACAGGTGGCCTTTCACTTTGCAGGGATGATGCCCAACCAGCTGAGCCACACTGGTCAGGACAGTAGTATTTTTTTAAAGCATTTAAGTTTTTATTTTGATGGATCCAATTTACCTATTTTTTCTTTTGTTGCTTGTGTTTTGGTGTCATATCTAGGAAACTATTGCCTAGTCCAAGTTCATGAAGATTTACTCCTACATTTTCTTCTAGGAGTTTTATAGTTAGCTTTAGCTATCCGTATTGGTCTTTGGTACACTTTGAGTTAATTTTTGTATATGGCATGAAGTAGGGGACATGTAATTTTAATTCCCATGCAGCCTCTTACCAATCATGTGCCCTTTGGTAAGTTTTTGAACCTAAGTTTCAGTTTCCTCATTTATAAAGTGAGAATAAATAGTACCTAAATCATAAGGTCGTAGGGAAGATAAACAATGTATACAAAGCATTTGCACAGTGCTTGAAGCATCTTAATTGCTCAGTAAATGTGGTAGATATTATTGGTATAAAATGAACAATGAGTGAACACTTTCGCCGCGGAGGTGCCAGAAACATGGACAGCATTTCTAAGGAGGTAGTGGGGATGAGCAGAGGAAGAGGCGGCTTAAGTACTTGTGGAGGAGCAGGTCTGGGATTGTTAACGGAGTTACCTGCTTCTGCCTCGCGATCACCTCTGGGACTGATAAAAACTCTAATTCCCAGGCTCTATCCCAGAACTACTGAAAGGAGCCCGCAGGAGAGAGGGCCCTAGATCTGCATTTGTATAAACTTCTTCACTTGCGTAGTACTTTCTCAGGCGGTGTGGGAGTGACGCTAGTGCCGCTTGCTGCGCCGTCTTCGGCCTGCGGGGGGCGGCCGAGGAGCCGGGGCGAACACAGCGGCTGCGCAGAGCCCTTCTCCCGCCCCGGCTCCGGAGCCGGATCCATCTGGCTCAGCTGACAGCTCCTAAGACGGAAGAGGCGGTGCGCAGGTTGAGCTGGGCGTCTCCAGACAGGTCTGGCTTTAGGTGGTGAGGGGCCTCGAGGTTAGGGCGGAGGGCGGAACTTTCGGGCCCGGCACTTTGTGGCGGCCGGGAAGGCACGGTGGGGATCCCGGTCCGTGCGCGCGGGACAGAGAGGGGCTGCCGGGCCGGGAGTGCTTTGTGGGCTTCAGCCCCCCGAACACGGGACGGGGCGACCCCTCAGCCCGGCCCGGCTAAGACCGCCCCCCCCCCCCCCCGGGGTGCTCGGAAAAGGAAGGGTTCGCGTCCTGCTTCTTCGGGACCCCACACGGCCGCACAGCGCCCTCTGTGTCCGATCGCCGGGGCAGGCAGCGAGGCTCGGGCCTGCTGCCCGGTTGTAGGTGAGTCGCACAAACTACGACTCTCCACGCTGGCTAGTGAGCGGTGGAGACACACCGGCGGCGGCGTGCTGATTCCGGAGCCAGGGCTGGCTCCAGATTTGGAGTCCCCACGGTTTGGTAGGGGAGAAGGAGAAGGATTTTCCCAGGCCTCAGGGAAACCCGGAGAGAAGGGGCTCGCCTCAGCAATGTAGCGGTTTCTGGTTTGCCAAAACGAGTATTAAACTGGAATGATCTCTTGTCTGTTGGCGCAGGGGTTTATTATGGTTCCTGTTTACAAGTGAAGAAACAGGGCGGTCTGAATCCAGATTTAGTTATATATTAGCTGTGTGACCTTGGACCAGAAAAGGACTTAAAATGTCAGTTTTCTCATCTGTGTAGTGGATATAGTGACCGAACTTGCTTTATGGGTTGTGGAAATCTAACAGTTAATTCATTTAAAGGGCTTACTTACACACGATAAGAGTTCACCAAGTGTTACTGTTCTTGCTGTTACTGTGACGACCAACTCAACCTCCTTCTAGTGGGATGTGGCAGAGCAGTTACTACACCTTAGGGTTCTGCCCCCCATTTCAGCTCACTGCATCTCATGCCATTCACTACTGATTTTTTCAATGTCTAATGCAACGCACTGCCAGATGCTGAGAACAATACACAGATGCAAAAGACTTGATTCTTGCCCTTAAGGAATTTATGCAGTCTGGTTGGAGAGAAAGTAAGTGCAAGCTGCTGCAGTGCAAGGTGAGATATGACCATTGCCCAGGGAAGTTACAGTAAAAAAGTTTGCTGGATTTTTAAGCACAGCCATCATGTCTAATTAAAAATTTCTACATGTAGTAGGGGTTTGGAGTTGGGTCTGGAAGGCTGAGTGGATAGAATCAGAGGGAAAGGTAGGTCAGCGACCTGAATTAAGGGACTGGGAACACCCTTGGCAGCCTCAGAAGCCGGAGTCTGGTGGGGTAGGTCATGAGGATCTGTTGATGAGAAATGCTGCTTGGGGGAGATCTGAACCCTGGCTGCACATAGGAACTGCCTGGAGAGCATGGGTAGCTGCTGATACCTGATTTAATTGCTCAGGTGATTCTAATGAATGGAGAAAACCAGAAACTATAAACCAGAAACTATAAAACCTTAAACCAGAAACTATAAGTTCATCTCTCACCCCATTTATAAATGTTTAAACAGGAAGAAACAAAGCTTAATTTGTTATTGAAGCTTAATATGTTATCACGGGTACTACACATCTGGTAAAATTGTTTAAAATTAAATAAGGTAACTTGAAAGGACCTAATATAGTAACTGTACATGGTAGGTGTTCAGTAAGTGTAAGCTGATTTTGAATTTCAGTTTTGGGCTTATTTGAGAGTCATATATCTGAGACTCTGGTTTTATAACCTTTCTGCATATACTTTTGGTATGTTCATAGGATTCTCCATAACTCATCTATGGGCCACACTTCCCCATCCCCCTCACTCCCCCCCCCCACAACCCCCCGGAGCCTAGCTCTAAAGCATATAGAACACAACTTAGCCTTTCTCTGTTACCCTGAGAAGGACCCACATGGCATTATTCTCAGTTCCCACATAACTTACAGGGAAACTTCCACAAGGTCAGGAGCCCTTGATGTCCTGCAAACGAAGGAAGAGGGTGTCCTCAAATTCCTTGCAGCAGGAACCCACTTAGGTGGCACCAGCCTTGACTTCCACATGGAGCAGGACATCTACAAAAGGGAGCTCAATGGCACCTACATCATAAATCTGAAGAGAACCTGGGAGAAGCTTCTGCAGGCAGCTTGTTCCATCATTGCCATTGAAAATCTCGCTGATGTCAGTGTCATACCGTCCAGGAATACTGGCCAGTGAGCTGTGTCGAAGTCTGCTGCTGCCACTGGAGCCACTCCTGTTGCCAGCCGCTTCACTCCTGGAACCTTTGCTAGCCACGACCAGGCAGCCTTCTGGGAGCAGAGACTTCTGGTGGTTACTGATCCCAGGACTGATCACCAACCAGCCTTTCACAGAGGTGTCTTGTGTTAACCTACCTACCACAGACTCTCCTCTGGGCCTTTTGGACATTGCCATCTCTGGCAGCAACCAGGGCGCTCGCTCAGTGGATCTGATATGAATGCTGGCCCAGGAAATTCTGTGCATGCACAGCACCATCCCATGAACACCCATAGGAAGTCATGCCTGATCTCTGCTTCTACAGAGATATGAAGAGATCGAAAAGGAAGAGCAGGCCACTACTGAAAAGTCTGTGACCACAAAGAATTTCAGGGGGAATGGACTGCTCAGCTCCCGAGTTCACCACCCCTCAGCCTGAGGTCGTTGACTGGTCTGAAGGCGCAGGTGTGCTCTGTGCCTGTTCAGCAGTTTCCCACGGAAGAGCGGAGCGCTCAACCTGCCACTGAAGACTGGTCTGCAGCCCCTACTGCGCAGGCCATGGAGTTGGGGGAACAACTACTGAGTGGCCTTAAGCTGTTTTTCCACAAACTCTTAAACAGAATGTAAATAAGGTTGATGGAAAATAAATATTCTTACAATAAAAAGTTTGCCTATGTATGCATGTGTGTGAGTGCTTTTTTAGAGAGAGAGAGGAAGGGGGAGAGAAACATCAATGCTCTCGCATTGATTGGCTGCCTTCATACATATCCAGATCAGGAATCCATATCAGGGATCGTACATATCCCAAGTGGGGCGGGGGGGCCAGGGAATTACATGTGCCCGTGCCCACGCCTGGACCAGGGATGAACCTGCAACCTAGGCATGTGCCCTGACTGGGAATCGGACCCGCAACCTTGCGGTTACAGGACAATGCTCTAGCCACTGGGCAACACTGACCAGGGCGTGCGAGTGTTTTTGTTTTGTTTTTAAAGACCCTGCTATCATGCTTAAATTAACCTAACGTGGAGTGTCCCTGGCAAGATTAATTCATAAGCAGGTGAGAGGAAAAACTGGAGGAGGACAGGAAATGAAGGAATAGAAGCAGCAGAAGAGGGAAGGAAAAACAACCCTAGAAGGCGTTTGTCAAGGGGTGTAATATGCTGTCTTCTCATGACCTTGATGGTCCTGAGCTCCTCCCAGGGCTGAAAATGGCAGATAAGACCTCTGTCTCTGCTGGGTGAGCAAACGCCCCTTTAGCCATGTGGCTTAGTTAGGTTGTTCTAGGAGAGTAATTATGCAGCTGTAGATTAAGGTCGATTGTGTGTTAGGATGTTAAGTGGCAGTAATGGAAATTCAGAATTTAAATTTGGGGAGGGTCCTAACCATCTTTTGTGTGTTTTTTTGTTTGTTTGTTTCAGATGGCAGGATTTCTATAGTATACCTAGTATGAGTTCCACATCTTGGCCTCTTCTCCAACTTCAGCAGTCTCGTCTCCACCATCTGGAGAATAAATGGAATATTTGCATGAATTCCAAACTCTGAACTGAAATAAACCGCAGTGTCATTCTTTTCTTCTGGTTGTTATCAACAGGTACTGACTAACTTCGGATGGAATGTGTCGGTGTGTCTGAGGGGTGCAACTTAAGCAGAACCATTATCTGCTGCAATAAAATTACTTTTTGAAAGTGGAATTATTTTAAATGAATTTGTCTAAATTTCATAGTGTCTACCTTTTTTATAATGTGAGAAACCATGTCCTAACTTTTTAGTTTTGTGCATTCCAATTAAATTTTTTTTTTTTTTTTGGTCAAGAGGGATCATATTTACAAATGCAGTTATAGTCCCAATATTTTAATTGACAAATTGTTAATTTTTTGCTTTATTAGATAATTTTCAGTCTCATTACATATTTTTTCACATTTAAATTATATGAAATCATGGTGCACCTCTAAGTTGCTGTGCTTAAAAAGCATTGATTCACACTTTAATTGTAGTATATTTGTGTTACCTAAGATAATGGTAAATCTTAAAACTGATTTGACAAAATCTGATATTTCCAAAATGTAATGTTACTTTGCTGCTTCCTCAGTGTATCTAACGCTCTTATATAGTGTCTGTGCCTGTAACATTCTCTAGAACAAGGTGTTCTAAACTGGGAGTAATTTTCCTCTTGGAGACATTAGGCTATGTCGAGATATTTTTAATTGTCACAACTTTGAGGGAAAGAGATGCTACTGGCATCTACTGGGTGGAAGCCAGGGGTGCTGTTACACACTCTGTAATGCACAGGCCAGTTTCCCAAGACAAAGAATTGTTCTAAAATGTCAATAGGGCTGAGGTTGAGAAAACCTGTGGTAGAGATTCCTGTGGATTGTAAATATTTATTTTTTAAAAGTATGTCAAATATATTTTGACTCCTTTTGTGGGCAAGACATGTTGCTAGGTGTCGTGGACAACTCAAAGTAATTTGTGATTTGTCCTTTCTAAAAATATTTTTTAAATTATGCTTTTTTCCCCTAAATCAGGTATACCTAACCGATAAAAGTCAGCAATTAAAAGCACTACATTCTTTGGAAAAAAGGCCATTACTATTGCAAAGCTACTAGAAAATTTACATGCCTGTCATTTTTTTTAGTTTAGCAGAAAAGTGAGAATATTGATTAATCCTTTGCAATTGTTGGTGAGGTACTTTTTTTTTTTTTTTTGGTGCCACTAGACTTTTCCAAACCCTGAGTTTTTTCTATTCTTAACTGATTTGGATGATTATCTTCAGCTCCTCAGAAAATTAAATGTCGTCAGAAGACCGAGAAGCTCAGGAGGATGAATTGCTGGCCTTGGCGAGTATTTATGATGGAGATGAATTTAGAAAAGCAGAGTCTGTCCAAGGTGGAGAAACCAGGATCTATTTGGACTTGCCACCAAATTTCAAGATATTCGTGAACGGTTAGTTAACAGTATTCTCTTAAACTGATTTTTCTAAATAAAGGTTATTCTCAATTTCTTAGTGAAACCTAAATTATTATTTTTTAATTTTTCAAATACAGTTTACATTCAGTATTATTCTGTATTAGTTTCAGATGTGCAGCAAAGTGGTTAGACAGTCAGGTACTTTACAGAGGGGTCCCCCTGATGCTCCAAGCACCCAGTGGCCCTGTGCATAGTTATCTCGATATTATTGACTTTGTTCCCTGTGCTGTAATCTCCACCCCTGCGGCTGTTCTGTAACTACCAGTTTGTACTGCTTAATCCCTTCACCCAGCCCCCTCCCTCTCTCTGCTCTGACAGCTCTCAGTCTGTCCTCTGTTGTATCTCCGAGTCTGAAACCTAAATTATTTATCACCTAATTTTTTAGGCATTTAATGCATGTTTCTGTTTTAAGTGAACATTAGACTGGGAGGTAAACAGTTTTCAGTTTGATTCCACCTTTTGACCATTGAATTTGGGATATTATCCTGCATATCCCATGCATCCTAATCTTCTAACTAGCAGTTTATCAGCCATGAGTCATTGGCTATTAACAGGGGTAATAAAAGAGGAAATGAAATAATGTGTGGAAACCTTTAAAGAACCATGGTGGTTGTTAATATTACTTGGTTTCCAGAATCACTTAAACTACCATGAACGTGAGACATTTGATGTCTTTCTGTGACCCTTTGCTTCAGAGGAAAAAAAACTGTATTTGATAAAAACATTTACAGAAGGCTTTGATGCATACTTTCCCAAATGTTTCTACTATAAAGGCATTGAAAAGAATGTATGATTAACTTGAAACATTGGGTGTTGTGTTTGGTATCTTGCCCTCAAGCCTGAGATCACTGTGTTTGCACAAATTGTCCCAACTATGATTCATGGGTAGTTGACACATGGTGGTCTAAGTAGGTCATAGCTCTTTGATAGAAATGAACATCCTTTACATTGTGTCCTTAATCATCTGCTGTAAAACAACAACAAAGGAAACATTGTGTATTACCTGTTCACTAGTGTTAGGAATTGTACTCAAAAGTGTATACAAGAATAAGTTGTGTATCTTCATTATAAATTTCATGGTGCTTAATAGATTTTTCAAGGGCTTACAAGATTTTTTTAAAAGATGGAGGCTACTATGAAGTTAAAATTTGGAAATAGTGCTTTGGGGAGGGTTTTTATCCCCTCAATGAAAGCATTACATCTTCTTGAGCACTGCTCAATAGTAAGGGACACTCGAGTGTTGACCAACTGATCCTTTCTAATCTTTGTTTTTGGTTCAGGCAATTCAAATGAGTGTCTCCAGAATGGTGGCTTTGAATACACCATTTGCTTTCTGCCTCCACTTGTGCTGAACTTTGAACTGCCACCAGATTATCCATCCTCCTCCCCACCTTCATTCACACTTAGTGGCAAATGGCTGTCACCAACTCAGGTTAGACCCAAAACTTAATTTCTCCTCTCCATTTTTAGAAACTTAAAAATCATCTCTAACTGAAGACTACCTTGATCTTGACTTCAGTGCATGAAGAACAAATGGCTTTGATTTTGTAATTTTTTCCCCTTGGCTTTGTGAATCCTAATGTTAATGAACTGAAAATGTTTGGTATTTTAGAAAGGAATGGCAGTAATTCAGATGATTAATTATTATGAATTACAGTGAGTAATTTCTAATCAAGTATATTGTTTCTTGTCTTGCTATTTTTCCCATTTAATCTGTGTTGTGATGAAACTATAAGGTTCTCCTTATTTTCCTTAGATGTTGGAATTTTTCCTTTTTTTCGTAGTTTCTTATCCAATTCCTTAAGACAAAGATTTAATTGTAATTAGAAGGGCTAAAATTGAGCTAATGTAGTTAAAATAGACAAATGTCCTAAGTAAACATAATAAGTGCTTCTATTTTTAAAGGTCTTAGAATAAGAACAAATAATTGTTGACTGATCTCTCACATAGATGTGATTACACATGAATAGGAGTGTATACAGTTCCTGTAGATAGCTCATGAAGCATTGTGAACCACCCTGACAGACATAACTGTGACTGGAAGCTAATATAAAGTGTTCTGGGGTAGATAGTGGGTCAGCAGCAGCTAGCTACTTTTCTAGAAGTCATGATGAAGATTGCTAGGTTGATGTATATTAAGACAAAAGCTGTCAGAGTTACTGACCTTAAGGAACAGCTTGTCAGTTTTCCTTTTTGATCATGTAGTTTTCAATCCCCCTTCTCCCATGCCCCTACAGCCTAATCTTTTAGATGAGAGTGCTTTTATAGAATTGAGCTTAAAATTGAGGTTTAAAAACAAAGTTAAACTTTAAAGATAATACACATAGAATAAAAGGATTATTACCTTACATTTTAATAGCTGTGCCAGAGGCACTATATACTAGACAGTGGATTATTTTCCCACTTCCCAATATTAAGGCTATTTGATATTTAGATCACTGATAGTTGACTGAATTATTTAGATACTTACAGTCTAATTTCTCAAGAGAGCTCTTGATACTTTACATCCATGCATGTGTACATACACACACACAACAAGGACAGATTAACTGGGTGTGTGGTTGTAGTTTCAGGTTCCAGCCAAACAGAATCTACTTAATGCCAGCTTTGGAGCAGGGGTGTCCAACCCATGGGCCACATGCAGCCCAGGATGGCTGTGAATGTGACCCAATACAAAATCGTATATTAAAACCTTTTTTTTTTTTTTTTTTTGCTCATCAGTTTTCATTAGCATTTGTGTATTTAATGTGTGGCCCAAGAAAACTCTTCTTCCGGTGTAGCCTGGAGACACTAAAAAGTTGGACACCCCTGCATTAGAGGGTATGGAGAGAAGAGGGTGGTTCATTATTTTACGTTACATAGCTAAAATTACAGTAGGATCTTCTATCAAATAGTTTTTTTATGCATGTAATGGACATTCAGCTGGTCTCTTATGCTCCTCGTGGTTCATTACTGAGCCCTGAGTCCTTGGCAGTGAGAATTTCACGTGCTATTAGTGAAGTTGGTATGTGGACCTGTCTTCACTGGACTGGGGTTGGCATAGAGAAGGAAGCAGGCTTAGTTTCCTTGAATGTCCCATTATTCCTCCATATGCAGTCTTTTTCTTGCTCTTTTCCTCCTTCTACCTCCCCCCTCTTCACATTTATGTGCATCCCGGATGCCTCTTTTGAGAAGGAGCAACCGGGCCTTCTCCTGACGTAGACCAAGAGGAAGCTGTGGATGAGAGAGCTGTGCAGGATGTGGAATCATTATCAAGTCTGATCCAGGAAATCCTGGACTTTGATCAAGCTCAGCAGATAAGAGAAGAGGGTGGAGGAGAATGGCTTCTTCATTGGACTTGGTGGCTCAAACAGAGCTCAGAGCTTCCCTTTTAGTGTTTATTCCATTTTACAGCTCCAGCTGGTTTCTAAAAAGTATATTCATGTAAGTGTGGAAAAGCGTTAGTTGTCCAACCTTGAGCTGGTCAGTAAGTGTTTCAGTTCCTGCCTATGTAGGGCTGAGTGAGCAGCAAGGAATAGAAAATGTGGTCTTTGTTCACTTTCTATTTAAATTTACAAAATTGTTTTGCATCTAGAAGGCTTATTTTTGGATGTTTACCTAAAAAGAAAAACTGCTTATAATTCCTGAGCTCTACTTACAAATATTTCACATTAGTAATGGAAAGTTCTTTTATATTTGTCACATTCAAATTGAACAGACTACTTTTAAGGTGGAGTACTTGAAACAGTTTAAACTTTCATGGCTTAGCTTGGAAAATGTGAATTTTCCCTGTGGCAGCTAGGCCATGTTGAGAGCTTATCATATCCCGGTTCAATACTAGCCTGCCTGCTTCCATTAACCAGGATCTGGTGTAAGCCCAGATGGCTCGGTTAAAACCAGTTTGTGAATCTGAATAACAAGGACTCTGAGATTGGATCCTGTTACTGACTCTTTCCACATGAGTTAGCTTTTTAATAGGACTGAAAGGTAGAATTAATTTTTAAACCTTTAAACTATTCTCTTTCTAACCATTATTGCAAGATACCTATAGGGCTAGGACTCCACAGGAGTAGAAATAGTTCATTTTAGAACTGGATCTCTTTCTCCCGCATGAGGTGTGTAGCAGCACTAACACAAAGGATAAGCAGAGAACAGAAAAAGCCCTCCATTGAGCGGCACATATGTAAACCAAGTTCTACATCTTGTAAAGTCATTCCATCTCTTTTGGTTTCGTGGCTCTTCCTTTAGCTTCTTCGGACTTTGTTTCTATGGCTCATGCTGCTGAATAGTTTAAGAAGGGCTCCGATAAGAATATTTGTGCTGTTTTGCAGCACAGTTTATCACAGTTGGGAAAGAAATCGCATTAGGAAGCGTGAGAGCCTAACTTCAGGATTTTAAGGGAAATCAGGAGCTGAAGGAATCATGGTCTTCCCAAACTCACCAGCATCCTCATGTGTTTTCTCCTAGCTGTCTGCTCTCTGCAAGCACTTAGACAACCTGTGGGAAGAACATCGCGGCAGCGTGGTCCTATTTGCCTGGATGCAGTTTCTTAAGGAAGAGACCCTAGGTTACCTGAATATTGTCTCTCCTTTTGAGCTGAAGATTGGTTCTCAGAAAAAAGTGCAGAGAAGGATGGCTCAAGCCTCTACCAGCACAGCACTAGATTTTGGAGGAGCAGCCGGCTGTGACGTAGACCAAGAGGAAGCTGTGGATGAGAGAGCTGTGCAGGATGTGGAATCATTATCAAGTCTGATCCAGGAAATCCTGGACTTTGATCAAGCTCAGCAGATAAAATGCTTTAATAGTAAATTGTTCCTGTGCAATATCTGTTTCTGTGAGAAGCTGGGGAGTGAATGCATGTACTTCCTAGACTGCAGGCACGTGTACTGCAAAGCCTGTCTGAAGGACTACTTTGAAATTCAGATCAAAGATGGCCAAGTTCAGTGCCTCAGCTGCCCCGAACCCAAGTGTACTTCGGTGGCCACTCCTGGTCAGGTAACTCTTTACTGACAGCTGCATCCTAATTTTCTTTCCCGGAGGGAGACATCTTCTCAGAGGCTTCCTTGATAGGGCGCAGGGCAGCCCAGGCCTTGGAGCCAGCCCGCAGGTTGTTTCCCGTGTCCACCAGGAATGCTGTGGTCTCACTTTACCACTTAAGCATACATAAATGCTCCCTCTGCTGGCCTCAGAATGGGCAGTCCTCAGCAGGGATGAAGACTAAAAAGTATAAAGTAATTCTGGTGACTGACTTTGTATGTTTACTAGGATGCCATCAACCTCGGGCAGTCACTCGCCTGTCTGTGTGAGGTTGGGATCTGAGGGGGATATCCCTGGGATCGGTTAACCAAGTCACTTGCAGACTTTAACACAGGACAGCCTACCTGGGGTGATTTTTTAAAAATTTATTAAGTCATTAATGTACTTATTTAATGCGTACAGTTTGCTTAGTTGTGACAAATGCGTAGATCCATGTAACCACCGTCTTAGTGAAGATACAGGCTTGCCACTCTTTGTTTGATCTGGTGAGGTAGAGGGGTTTAATTTATACGTGTCTGATTTGCACCGGCAGCCTGAGGGTATCCTCAGGATCAGAACTGGCTGGGAAATTGTCAAACCTATGTTTATATACATGTTTTAAAATATTTTCCTCCAGGTCAAAGAGCTAGTGGCAGCAGAGCTATTCGCCCGTTACGATCAGCTGCTTCTCCAGTCCACCTTGGACCTGATGGCAGACGTGGTGTACTGCCCTCGCCCATGCTGCCAGTTGCCGGTGATGCAGGAGCCTGGCTGCACCATGGGCATCTGCTCCAGCTGCAATTTTGCCTTCTGTACTTTGTGCAGATTGACCTACCATGGCGTCTCTCCGTGTAAGCTCACTGCAGGTAAGTTGTTGCTATGTGAACTCAGTTCCTCTACCCCTACCCCGCCACCAGAACCCCCAAAACTTATCACTTCAGCTTCCCACTTGGAAGTGCTCATTCATAAGGTATTTTTGTGTTAGTTATTGTCCTAGCATCTGTGGATATAGTAGTGACCAAATGCCCTCATACAACTTACAGTCTAATGCCAGAGACAGGCAAGCAACATAGATAAGAATATCAGATGGTAGTAAATGCTGAGGAGGAGAGAAAATAAAGCACAGACAGCATATGAAATGTTCTGAAGGGGAAGGGGCTTGGGATGTTTTACTTTGGGAAACGTGGAAAGCCTCGTTGGCAAAGTGGTTTAAGTAAAGGCTTAAAGAAAGTAAGGAAATAAACCACATATAGATCAGGGGAGGACAGTACAGGGAAGGAATGGCAAGGTAATTTTGATCCATGAACATGAAATAATGTAGATCCAGTTGGCAGATGCATAGCTGTCCCTCTTGTTTCTGTGGCACGTGTGTCTGATCAGGCATCGAGTGCTTTCTCATCGAGCTCAGGGCAGCCTCAGAATCTTCCTCAACACAGCCCTCCAGAAAGCCGCCCTCTGCCGGAGCAGGCACGGGGGGTGAAGCCTGTCTTCCACTCCTGACCTCGATAAGGGTTGGGAAGCCAGGCCCTTGAGATCGATGTAACTGGACTTGGGTGACTTAGTCTTTGTTGGTCTAACAGGGACCATGGTGGTAGCTGCTTCATAGGGTGGTGGTAAGGAAGAAAAGGTCTCTTGTAGCGCTTCTCAAACTCGTTATAGTCGTCACACTGGTCTCAGAGCACATGCATGTAGAAACTGAGGGTCAAGATTTGAAACTTTTATAGGGATGTCTCAGAGCAATTTTATGTCAGATCTTAAAATGAAATTTTTACTTTCATTTTTCTAATAATTCACTTGATTGTTTTTTACAAAATACAATCAAAGTAGGGGAGAAAAACTAGTTCTTTACCATAGATAATTTTAGAACAATGGGTTTAATAGATGTAAAATGCAAAATGGTAACTATTATTGCTGTTAAATATTATACTTACTAATTGGCACTGTTAGGATGTCATTATCTCCAAGGAAGTGCCCCAACAGGAAAATGAGTAGATACTTTCAGTGCCTAGAGTAGAATCTTGTAGTGGCTCCGGGCAGATGGGACAGAGAACTCAGCATAACATAGGATAAGCCAACACTTAGATTTCTGTAACTTTCACATTGAGAAGCTAAAGTACATTTCACATGTTTCATAGCATTTGAGGAAGAAATTTAAGGTAGGCTTTGGGGCTTCAGCAAAATTTGGCATCTCATTCTCTCTCTCTCTCTTTTTTTAAAAAATTTTATTTATTTATTTTTAGAGAGAAGGGAAGGGAGGGAGAAGAGAGGAAGAGAAACATCAGTGTGTGGTTCTCCCCCATGCACTCCTCACTGGGGACCTGGCCTGTGACCCAGGCATGTGCCCTAACTGGGAACCAAACCGGCGACCCCTGGTTCACAGGCTGGCAGTCAGTCCACTGAGCCACACCAGCCAGGGTATTCTCTATCTCTTTTACATATGTGTTAGATATTACCATATAAAATACATGAAATACAAGCAATTTTATTATGTTGAGAACATTGGCACAGTAAATATTTGTCCTTTAAGATGTCTGAGAACACAAAAAGTGTTTTGAATTATTAGAGGAATAAAACTGACAGAATAAAAGTTACACGTTTGCTACATCTAAGCAGAGGTGGTGGAGCCATGGGAAAGCGCACTGCAGAGAAAGCATTCACGGGTGGAGGCGGAGTGCAGATGGGGCTGTGCACCAGAAGGTGGCCAGTGCATTGAAAAGGGAGACTGCGCTGTAAATATGAAGAAAGCAACCTAATAAAGTAACTAGAACATTGCTGAGAGGGATCCTTGGTTGGTCCTGTTGAAAAATTAAGATGATAGGATTATGAACAAAAGCCTTTTTGTCTATAAGTAAAGCCTTTGGGAATGTCTGCCTATTTAAGTGATGAAGCAATAGAAACCAGATTGAAGAGTGTCAAGGGGGAAAGTTGGCAGGAGGAACTTTTCATTAGCTGTGGTGGTAAATTTTATTCACTAATTTTTTTAATATACTGTGTTGAACATTTAGTCTTTGCCCTTAAGCCAAAGGTGCTTTTGTTTTTCTGGCGTGCCTTGTTATTGTCAGATGGTGAATGATGCTGACGTAGTGGAACACCGGTGTCTGTCTCAACTTTTGCATTTTTTTATTTGGTCTGTATCTAACTGTGTGCTACTAAACATGTCAACACTAGTAAGTCAAAATCAAAGGAAAAAGGTAACCTATTATTCTACCACCTTTAACAAGCCTAACTTTTCTAATTGGAGGATTCCTTTTTGTTCTGTGTCACTTGTGCATGTCTAACTTTTATCTAGTTATAATGTAACTTTCTTTCTGGATTCTATAATAGGTATTTTAATTGAGCTGTAGCTATCCTAACTATAGGCTTTTAATAACTGAATATTATGTCATTAAATGGTTCTTTCACACATAATTATTTCCTTGGACATTTCATTTGTTTTCCATTGTTATATGCATTTCCACTTTGGATTATTTTCTTTTCCTTGTTTTCAGACTTTATTTATTTTAGAGAGATGGGAAAGGAGAGAGAAAGAGGATAATCAGCAGTGCAAAGTGGTATAAAAGTTAATTTTCCATTTCACTTTCTAGAGAAATTAATAGACTTACAGAATGAGTACCTGCAAGCAGATGAGGCCACTAAGAGATTTATGGAGCAGAGGTATGGGAAGAGGGTGATTCAGAAGGCGCTGGAAGAGATGGAAAGCAAGGAGTGGCTCGAAAAGAACTCGAAGAGCTGCCCGTGTTGCGGCATTCCCATAGAGGTAAGCAGCCTCGCGGCATGTTGAGATTGTCCCAAGAAGCCTATAATTTTGTGACTGATTAAGAAAATACATTTTGGTATTTATTAAACCTTTTTTACTTGGAAGGTACAAATGCACTACCTAATAGTGTTATTGACCTTAAAAGTATGCAGATGTCCCTTTTCAAAGTGCTTTCGTGCCGTGATGATTGTTCTCACATCATATCCCCCTTGACGCCGAATGGGTTATGAGGAAGCTGTACTACAGCTATAGTCAGTTCTTAACTCATTTATGTGATTAAAAAAAAATCAAGTCAGACTTCCGTCAGAACTGTTTATCCTGGAGTTTAAAATACCTGTTTAACAAGTATATGCTTAGGAAATGGAGACATTTTCACATTAATCTGATTTAAAATACGTAAGTCTATTGCTTGTTGACAAAATCTTAATATGTTATAAAATAAAAATATATCTTTGTATTTTATTTTACTGTTCTAATTCATTACAGTAGTCCTCCCTTATCTGTGGGAGACGCCCAGTAAACGCCTAGGGATAATACTGAGCCCTGTATGTACTGTGTTTTTCCAATACACGCATACCCATGGTGAAGTTTAATTTATAAATTAGGCACAGTAAGAGGTTAACGACAAGTAATAGAATAATTATAATAATACACTAATAAAAGTTATGTGAATGTGGTCTTTTTGTATCAAAATATATTATTGTAATATACTCATTCTTCTTGAGATGATGAGAGATGGTACGAAATGAGGTGAATAATATAGGCACTGTGACGTAGCATCAGGCTGTTACAAGGGTTCCTTGAAAACAAGCGCTGCGATAACGAGACAGGTAATCTGACAACCGAGAGGGCTGCTAGGTGACTGATGGGAAGGGAAGATTCACGTCCTGGTTGGGATGACACAAGATTCCATCTTGCTCAGAATGGTGCACAATTTAAAGCTTATGAATTGTTTATTTCTGGACTTCTCCATGTAATACAGAGTGGGGCAAAAGTAGAGTTACAGATGTAAGCAAAATAGTTTTGTATTATTATTTATCAATGAGTGTATTATTTTTCATATGAACAACTGTGAATCTGCTTTTGCCCCACCCTGTGTTTTCAGACCGCAGTTGTCTGTGGGCAGCAAAACTGCAGAACTACTTACTCTGTGTCTGAACTGAACCTGGGGGTTGTTCCCCAGCTACTCCTGTAAGGATGCCGGCCTCCCGTTAACCACTCCTGATTGCCTCAGCCCTGTGGTAGAGCGGGGAACTGGATGCCAAATGTTGTCTTAGATTCATGTGACACGTTTAAAACCACACATACTAAATCCAAACATTTTAGGTACTGATCTGACTACATGTTCTGCTTATAAAATACAGGGTGGGGCAAAAGTAGGTTTACAGTTGTTTGTTTAGAAAATGACATAATAATTAATAAATAAGAACACAAGAATTCACTGTTTCCCGTACCCGTAACTGTAGACCTACTTTTGTCCCACCCTGCACATGTTTGGTTTGTATCTATGTTTATCAGAAGAGAACTTACTAAGTATCTAGTTGTAGGAACATCTGCAAAATATTTTGTTTTACTTATAATGCAAAAGACTAAGCATTAAAGTTATCAGTGGGTTACTGTATCTTTCATACCGTATCTTGTATGAAAAAAGGGACTAGGAAAATGTTGTATGGGATCTTTTTGGCATGTGCATTTTTCTTTTGCTTTTACAGCCTTAATATTTTTCCCTTTCTGCCTTTCCCACCAGAAATTAGATGGTTGTAACAAGATGACGTGTACTGGCTGTATGCAGTATTTCTGCTGGATTTGCATGGGCTCTCTCTCTAGAGCAAACCCGTATAAACATTTCACTGATCCTGCTTCCCCGTGTTTTAACCGGTGCGTACACATAGAATTCTCTAGGCTCAGCAGCAGTTTTTAGCTCTTGATTTACAGACCACAGAACTACTGTTTGACTTAGTGCTTTGCTTATTAGAGAATTCTTTTACACATTTTCCCGCATATGTGAATTTTTATATTATTTACTAGAAATGAGTTTTATGATGAAAGTACGCTATCTGCAAATTTTCCTTTTTTAATCCTCCTCAACTTTTTAAAAACATATATTTTGTTGATTATGCCCTCACAGTTGTCTCAATTTTTTCCTCCTTGCCCCCCTCCACCTGGTACCCCCCATTCCTTCCAGCAATCCTCCCCTTAGTTTACGCCTGTGGGTCATGCATGTACGTTCTTTGGCTTCTCCATTTCCTGTACTGTTCTTAACCTCCCCTGCTTATTCTGTACCTACCAATTTGTACTTGTTATTCCTGAAGCTTTTCCCCCATTCTCCTCCTTCCCCCTCCCATCTGGTAACCCTCCAAATGATCTCCATATCTGTGATTGTTTCTCTTCTGCTTGTTTGCTAAGTTTGTTTTTTAGATTCAGTTGTTGATAATTATGAATTTTTGTCATTTTAATGTTTATAGTTTTGACATTTTTTTTCTTCAATAAGTCCCTTTAACATTTCGTATAATGATGGCTTGGTGATGATGAGCTCATTTAGCTTTACTTTGTCTGGGAAGCACTTTACCTGCCCTTCCATTCTAAATGACAGCTTTGCCAGATAGAGTAATTTAGGTTGTAGGTCCTTGCTTTCCATCACTTTGAATACTTTTTGCCACTCCCTTCTTGCCTGCAAAGTTTCTTTTGAGAAATCAGCGGACAGTCTTATGGGAACTCCTTTGTAGGTAACAAAGCTGCTACCTACAAAGGAGTTCCTTTGCTGCTTTCTCTTGCTGCTTTTTAGATTCTCTCTTTATCTTTAGCCTTTGCCATTAAAAAAATGATTTTATTTACTTTTTTAGAGGGCAGGCTGGGGGGAGAATGAGAGGGAGAGAAACATTGATGTGCGAGAGAAACATCTATTGGTCGCCCCCTTGCACGCCCCCAACTGGGGACCCAGCCTGCAACTCAGGCATTCACCCTGACCAGGAATTGAACAAGCAACCCTTTGGTTCATAGGCCGGTGCTCAACCCACTAAGCCATGCCAGCCAGAGCAACCTTTGGCATTTAATTATGATGTGTCTTGGTATGGTCCTCTTTGTGTCCATTTTGTTTGAGATTCTCTGTGCTTCCTGGACTTTTATGTCTATTTCCTCCACCAAATTAGCGAAGTTTTCTTTCATTATTTTTTCAAATAGATTTCCAATGTCTTGTCCTTTCTTTTCTCCTTCCAGCACCCTTATGATTAAAATGTTGAAGTTGTCCCAGAGGTTCTTTAGCCTATCCTTTTTTCGGATTCTTTTTTTTTCTTGCTATTCTGATCGAATGTTTTTTTTCTTCCTGATGTTACAAATCATTGATTTGATTCTTGGCCTCATCTACTCCAGTGTTGGTTCCCTGTAAATTTTTTTTTTATTTCATTTAGTGTAACCTTCATTTCTGCCTTGGTCTTTTTGTGCCATTGAAGTACCCAATGAGTTCCTTGAGCATCCTCATAACCAGTGGCTTGAACTCTGTGTCTAATAAATTGCTTATCTCCATTTTGTTTAGTTCTTTTTCTGGAGTTTTGTTCTATTCTTTCATTTGGGTCGTATTTTTTGTCTTCTCATTTTGGCAGCCTCCCTGTGTATGTTTCTCTGTATTAGGTAGAGCTGCTTTGACTCTCTGTCTTAGTAGCATAGCCCATTGTGGAAAAGCACACTGGAAAGTTGGTTGGGGCAATCCGTGTGAACCAGGCTGATGGAGTCTCAGATACGGTGTCGTGGCTATGTGGCTCTATGTGGGGGAGGGCTCAGAAAGGAGACATTGGCTGCTGCCCGGCCTGTGGAGTTTTGTCTGGGAAGAAGCTGTCCCCCAGCACTTGCCCTGATGCCAGACCCTTCTGTCTCACCCTTCCAGCTACTGCCCTGGCGCTGGAGCTTAGAGGGAGTGAGTCTGTGTAAGTCCTAAGTCTGTTGTGGGCCCTTTAAAAGGAGATCCCTGAGACTCCCGCAGTTTCTTCTGCCGCCCCCAACCCCTAGTGGTTTTTACAGTCAGAAGTTATAGGGTCTTATCTTCTTGGCACTGGAACTCTGGGCTGGGTGTTCTGGTGTGGGTCTGGGATCCCTTCTTCCACAGGAATTCCTCTCACTTTTTATCTACCACACGTGGGTGTGGGACCACCTGTACCTCCGCATCTCCACCCCTCCTACCTGTCTGGATGAACATGACTTCTTTAATGCCTTGGTTGTTGGACTTCCATACAGCTCAATTTTTTTGATGATTTCAGGTGATTAGTTGTTTTGTAGTTTAGTTGTAATTTTTGCTGTGGTTGTGCAAGGAGACAAGCCGTGTTTACCTACGTCTCCCTCCTGAATAGAAGTCCCCTCCTCAATTTTTTAAAAAAGATTTTACTTATTTAGAGAGAGGGGAAGGTAGGGAGAAAGAGAGGGAGAGAAACATCAGCGTGTGAGAGATACATCAATCAGCTGCCCTCACACATCCCCAGCTGGGAACCGCAGTCCAGGTAAGTGCCCTGAGCAGGAACAGAACAGCTCCTTTTGGTGTACAGGACAGTGTTCTAACCAACTGAGCTACCTGGCCAGGACAGAAAACATTGACTTTTTGGGGACCAGCCAGTTGTCCTATATAACATCTTACTTTCTGGATTTTTGTTTCTCCATGGTGTCTTTTAATTTGTTTCCCCATCCTCTCCATATTCTATAAACTAGTATGAAGTTGGATTAGATTTAGAGTAACGTTTTTGACAAGAATACTACGTGAGGAGTGAATGGGTACTTGATACTATGTCATGTCAGGCCCATGATATCAGGCTGTTCCACTATTAGTATGATGCTTAGTTTTATCATGTGCTTTATTGTAAAGGTAACTTTTAAATTATTATTACTAAGTGATCTGTGGGGGTTCCTTAGCACAATGTGAATATCCTGTTCTCCACAAGCTCCAAATTCAGCATCAGTTGATCAGATGACTTTTGTTAATAGGCATTATAGTACCTGTTATCATTGGTGTTATCAAACTATAAAAGAAATTAAAGAAACAAGCTCTGCCCATGAACTACTGGAAATCTAGTGTTGAAAATTGCATACATTTTAGGTAAAATAAGGGAAAGAAGACAAGTTGGCAACTTACAACATTCGACAAATGGAGAGTGCTGTGGCCATGAAGATAGAACTGAGTGGTTAGCATGTAATAGTTACAGTGTCTTGAAATAGTTCAGCTTCTTCTGGATTGGCCGACTTCCTCAGTCTTGGCTCATTTTATGTATTGTGTACGTTGAGTGTCAGTTTTGTGATAACCGTCTTCCATTACTGTTTATCCTTGGTCCTGGAGAGTTTGTCTGGAGCCTAGAAGGGTTCTTCTTATAAACTTTAAGGCAGCTTATTCAAATGAATTTATATTTCAGCCCTCAGTAGGAAATTAAAGGAGAAGAAAAGATAAAAGATGTAATCAGACGAGTACAGAAAGTATTTTTGGGAGAAGGAAAGAAATTATAGTTTCTTCCAAGTTTGTAACATTGTACCTTATTATGTACTTCCAGGTTGTTCCATGCCATGAACGTCAATGGAGACATTTTGGAAGATGAGATTGAAGACTAGTTCATTCCTGCTGCTCAATATGTGGAAGTGGAATGGTTTGCTCTAATCTTTTGTCTGGCATACAAAGTACCTTTGCCGGATATTTAGGGAGACCATGCATTCACTCTTGCGAGGTAGAAGATAAGGAAGAATGAGGTTTATATTTTCGTGTGGTACTACTGACTAAGGCATGTTCATACATTGAAAAATGTAACTTAATTGAGAAAAGTATAAGCCAAAGGTTCAGAAAATGAAAACTAGAGAATATTAAATATTACTATGTTCCCAAAGCTCTGAATAGTTAAAAATTTAAATATTTATTTTTTCCCCAAGCTTTAGGTAAGGAGAGTGGTCCAGAGTTCAACTTACAGACCTTTTTGTCTCTCTGAGAAGCATCCCTCTAGTACTACCCCTTGCAGTTGGGGTGGGTAGAAGCCTTACTGAATTTCACCAAGAGCCTGATCTCACTCACTCCACGTTACATTGCTCCCAGCCTCCATTTCTGCTGCCTTCTCTTTGGAGGGAGCCCTTTTACTCTGAAACCGACTGGATGGCCCAGTGTCAATTTGGCCTACTGCTTTGCAACATAGAAATTTATAATTTAAAAGATATTTTTAATACCACAAACACTGTGGGTCACCTGATATTTGTCACCAATATATAGTCCACTGGTTTTGAGTGGAGTCCTTACTTAATGACACTGGCTCGGAAGAATTTCAGCCCTGTTCGGCCTTTCTGGGCAGTAGGGCCTAAAATCAAAACGACTTGTCTTTGCTGCCTTTCATTCCACCTTCTCTCCCTTTCCCCTCACCCAGCCTTCTGTTGGTAAGGACAGTTTCACTATTAACCCCAGCAGCTCCTATTCTTATTTCCTCTTCTGCAATAGGAGACAGCCTAATATATTCCCAAGCTGAGCAAGCTGAGCTTTCTTTAATTATCAGCTTTGTGAACTCCACACCACTGTAGTTCAGTCCTAACTTTTAAAATTATTTTTAAAGCTTTCCTCTAATGAGCTTTGGGAATTTGGTTTCCTACCCTTTTTGCAACAGCACTGTTGGGATAATTTTGGCTTGCCCAGATCCCTATTTCTGGGTTTTGTTGGCTTTTTGAAAAATTGTCTTTCCTTTCGGTTTGGTGAGTGGTTTGGTAGCAAAATAAGATTTTCTGGAAAAGGACAGAATTTGGCTGCAGCTGTGAAAATGTTCTTTTTTCCTACTTTGGTGTCATTGAAAATTGAGGAATCACTTTAACCATTTTACGTGTGTGTATCCAAAGAATCAGCAATGACTGTTTCTGATCGTCAATGAGGATGTTTAATCTTAAAAATAAAAATAATTTAAAATTGTCTTATAATCAGAGCAGAGTTGCCGATGTGTGTTCTCTCACCAAGGGCTTGTAGAGTCTTATTTTTGAAGCATCAGTTATGAGCTAATTTTAAGATGGTGAAATTTTAGGTGGAGTACTTTTGTCTCTTAAGTAAAATGGAAGATTGGGGTAGCCCCCCGGGTGCTCTAGAAATAAATGAGTTTGTTGAGGGTTGGTACATCAAGAAAGTTGATGAATAGAGTTTTTGTACCTGGCTTAATTTCATGAGGCCATTTTTACAAGTGGGCCGAGCTTTGCCATCAGCTGACATGAACCTCAGGGGGTCCTTTTGGGGAGAGTGGGAGAGCAGAGGGGTCCATCTGCAGGCTGCCAGTCCATCCTACCCAAAACTAATTTGGAGAGGCCAGGTCTCTTGATTTTATATAATAGGTTTGGATCTAGAGCTAATAAATGAAAATAAGACACTAAATAACTTTTTAAGTCAAAGTAGGGTTTTGTGACTTTTTAAACTTGTGATTGAACTAACTTAATGGCCTGACTTTGTAAGTTGAAATGCATCTTTCCCCATTTATTTTTAAGTAATTTTTTTAACTTAAAATATATATCTCTTCCTGTTGAGAAGAATAATGGAGAAAAGACATGGCAGCCCTATTCTCAGACCTGTAGTACTAATAGCAGGGCCTTTTTTTAGTTGTAGAGGATTCTAGTTAACATTAGGTAGTAATATATGTACCCTTTTTTTGTTAAGAGAATTAGAGTTAATCAGATATGATCATCATAAAGCTATTCACGTGGCTGCCTGTTTTGGAAGCAAACTTTAAAATTTTGGCAGGGATTTTGGAGAGCACACGAAGTAGTAACTTTGTCATAAGCATCACCAGCAGGTGGCAGCAGTTCCCACGTTGTAAAAATGAAATAAGTGATTAAGACTGGCATTTTGTTACAGAGCAGTTTTATTCCTGGGATTGTAATTTTTCCTTTGTTGTGTTTCATTATGGACATTTACACACATTGGTAGGTAGAGTGGCATCTGATGAGACCAACAAGGCAGGAACAAGAGTCTTACCAAAAACTCTAAGGCCACTTAAAACTGTGCTTGAACCATAGTTGACATCTAATTGTTACGTAGGAAGGTGTCACTCCTGAGAGTAGCTTATCCACAGCTACTGAAGTAAAGGAAATAAGTTGTAGCAATAAACTATAGCTGAAGCCCCGAAGTAGGATGGAGAAATTAGGACAGGGTGGTGCCCTCTAGTAACAGCAGCCCAATAGTCTGCTCCTTGAACCTTGGCTCGATAAAAAAGTTGGCCAGCGAAGGAGGATAGGGTTTGTAGCCAGAAAGCTGGCTTTGAGGATGTTTTTAACAAACGTTTATGATGACTGCCAACTCTCAGCACCCACAGTCCAGTCTCTGCACAGTTACTCAGGCTGCCTGAGAGGTACCACCCAGGGAGTCCCATATTTCTCTAAGCTGGTAGGTGCTTTGGAGAAGATTGTGCACAATGAAAACTTAGTGAGACTCTGATGCCAGAGTTGCTAAGTACAAAGTCATCACATTTACTTCTTTTCCTTGCTTGGTACTCTCTTTCTTTTCCCCTTTCATTGACTTGGCAAACAAACAAAACTAACATTAATACAACATAAAGACATATAAATGTAAAAGGTGATGGTGTCTTACTTTTAGTTCCATGTTTTGTAACCTATTGTCTTTCCTATTGTTTATTCCTTAATTTAACAAATATTTACTGAGTACCTCACAATGGGCCTTACTATTTATCTAGGCTCTGAAAATGTAGCAGGGAAGAAAACAGATCTCCCTGCCCTTGTGGAAATTGAACTCTGGTGGACAGAGACGATCATGAAGCAAGTCACATGGTTCATCAGAAGACAAGCATTGTGGAGAGAACCCTGGGGAGAGTGTAGGGGGTTAGGAGGCAGCAATGCTGGGATTTTAAAGAGTGGAGAAGGCTTCATCAGATAGCACTTAAACAAATGTTTGGCAGTATGGGGCTGAACCCCATGGACGCCTGGGAGAAGAGAGTCCAGGCAGACACTCCAAAGCCCTTGGGACAGGAGCACGTCAGGGGCTCCAGGAACAGTGTGACGGCCAGTGAAGGCTGAAACAGACCAAGGAAGGGAGAATAGTAAGAGGTGGAGTGGCAGTAAGAGGTGCAGGCTGCCTACAGCCTTGTGTGAAATTTGGCTTCTACTTGGAGACAGGAGGCTTTGGAGGGCTTTAGCAGAAGTGTGATAGGGTCCGACTTACATTTTAGGGGAGTGGGGTGAGCAAGGATTGAAACAGACCAATGAGGAGACTACTGTGGTAACTCAGGTGAGAGGTTCCAGCACTTGGAATCTTGAGAAGTAGTCAGACTTTGTTCTTACCTTAAAGGTAAAGTAAGGACGTGCTGATAGATTGGATGCATAATGTGAGAAAGCAAGGCATCAGAGTTGATTTCTCGGTCTTTTTGTCTGAGTGGTTGAGATGGAGAAACCTGTAGGTAGTATAGGTTTGCAGATGAAGATCAGGAGTTTAGTGTGGATAGGTGAATTTGAGATGCCTTGTAGTTACTTTAGTAGAGATGTCAAGGAGCAGTTGGATATTCTAGCCTGGAGTTTGAGAGAGAGATTCAGGATGGAGATGTAAGTGGGAATGACTAGCCCAGAATGACCAGTCAGACGCTAACACCCCAGTCACCTTACCTGTGGCTTTTGTGCTTGAAAGAAACATATTTGTGGGAATAAACATATAGGTGGTATTTAAAGCCATGAGACTAGATGGAATTACCAAGGGAGTGAGCTGTATAGAGAAGAGGTCCAGAAACTGAGTTTTGGGTCACACCGCATACTAAGAGGTCAGGATTATGAGAAAGAGCCAGCAGAGGAGATGGAGAGTGGACAACAAGGGAGGAAAATCAGTAGAGTGTGTGATACGCTGGAAGCCATGCCATGTTTGAAGAAGGGAGTGGCCCGCTGTGTGAGTCACGGCAAATAGGGCAGGTAATAGGAGCTGTAAGAATGGACTTAGCAACCAGTGCAGAAGTCATCGGTGGCTTTAACAAGTGCTCTTCCAGTGGAGGGGAGGTGAAAATCTGGAGTGTTATTTTGAGGAACAGTGGGGCATCCTTACAAGAAAAAAGCGGAGCAGACTGAATATCAACTTCCCGTCGATCCATCAGAGAGCGGAGGTTACAGACCACCACAAAAACTAGAGGCAGGAAATTGCAGAAAATTACAGATTAGATGGCCTAAAGCAGAGGCTGCTGGAGCCATTAGTCAGGATTTAAACGACTTGCTGGAGGCTGAGAACGACTAGCCTTCGAGTTAAAACTCCTGGGAACTAGCCTTAGGGGCCCCCACACCTTAGTGAGTTTTACCTCCAGAAGTTCCCCTAGGTTCTCACTGTAAAGATGGTAGAAATTCCCATGTAGCCATTCTAAAATACCCCTGAAGGCTGTTTCCATGGCAGAAGCCTATCCTCAGGGCTGGGCCTTCTGTGACCCACAGGAAGGGCAGTGGGATGGCTTGAGCCCCCTCCAGCCTTCCTGTCTCACATGAGGGGCAGGGGAAGGCCAAGAGGCTTTGAAGGCCTCATCCCAGGGACTCGAGCCCACTAAAAACAAAAACAAACCCTTGCAAACAGATTTAATCATAAGGTTATCGAATGCTGCTTCTGCCTAATACCATACCATCAATAAGGCTCCAGGATTATAACAGCAGATTACAGCTCTTCAGAGAGCCATGAAACAGGCTGTTGTAAGGAGTTTCTAGGGAAACCCAAAGACGACAATGGAGACAAAAACAAGGCAACTGAAGCCTCCGACACCTACAGCAGACATTAAGTGCAGGCCAGCTGCCAGCCAGATAAATGTAGACCCTCATGCTTGATAGACCCAGGCAGGCTTAGGAAACCGCCTGCTGACCCCACGCAGGACAGACAGACGTGTGGATAAGATTGTGGTCAGCTTATCTGGCACAAAGGGCTGCAGCAGTACCCAGAGGCCGACAAGGGGTACAAAGAACAACGGTCAGCAGAAACCGTGCATGGTGACTAGCCCCAGCCAATGACATCCCGACACCTTGACCTGGCAGTACAGAATGACCAATCAGACGCCAGTACCCCAGTCACCCCACCTGTGGCTTTTGCACTTGAAAACCCCACCCCAAGGACAATGGAGCTGAGTCTTCACCTTCTTTGGTTGGTTCCCCAACCTCAGTTGGCTCCACTTTCCCCTCTTTTCCCCCTAATAGACCCTGCTCCTTAGCTCGCTGCATCCTTCTGGTTTCTTGAACAGCTCCGGCCTGACAACGCTAAAGGCCTGTTTACCTCAGTTCCTGTTACCCAATACATCACATCCACCTTTCAGTACAAATCATAAGGATGCTAAGAGGCAGAGGAAAAGTCTGAAGAAACAAAGCAAGCATCAGAACCAGACTCAGATATGGCAGAGATTTTAAGAGTTATCAGGAAAGGAATTTAAAATAACTATGATGAATATGCTAAGGTCTCTGATGGAAAAAGGCAACATGCGAAATCAGATGAGTAACGTAAGCAAAAGACAGAAACTCTAAGAATTGAAATGCTAAAAAAAAGCATTAGGAGAAGAGTAAAGAAGAAATGGATGCCTTTGATGGGCTCATTAGTAGGCTGAATGCAACCAAGGAAAGAATGAATGAGCTTTCCTTAGAAACACCCCAAACTGAAATTTAAAGAGAAAAAGGAATGACGGGGATGGGGGAAGGTGCAGAACTGTGAAACAATTGCAGAAGGCATAGCTTATGCATACTGAGAATCTTCCCATATTTCCCATATGTAGAATGGGAAGATTAGAGCCAGAATATTGTAACTCCAGGAATTTTTCAATAAAGGGGATCAGAAAATGAGGCTCTTTCGGGAGGGGGTAAACAAGTAGAGTTTTGTATTTAAAGCCTGTTTTGTACACTCATAGGAGTGATCCAGGAAAGGAGGACAATTTGATGCTGCAGGTGAGAGAGTCTTGCTGGAGCTGGGCCTTCGAGGAGGCAAGAGAAG